TTTTAAAATATAAAAATATATAAAAATATGTATATATATACATAATCTGATGCATATATACACATATGGATGACTGACGAAAACCTCTATATATTATATATACTGAATCGAATCGAAAACAAATTTGCATATTTAAATACCAACTTTAAATATACAAAATACCAAAATACCAAAAATCGAATACCTGAATATTGCCTTATGAAAAATAATCAAAAATCAAAACGAAAAAAATGATATAAATGCAAATGAAAATGCAAATATAATAAAAAAAAATGATTAACCAAATAGGCCCGTCGGCTTCTGGGGCAAAATTGTCGGCTCTTTGTGCGTGATCGCTGGTGTGCTGACAATCGCACTGCCGGTACCGGTTATCGTCAGTAATTTCAATTACTTCTATCACCGCGAAACGGATCAGGAGGAGATGCAGAGCCAAAATTTCAACCACGTTACAAGTTGTTCATATTTACCTGGTGCACTAGGTACATATATATATAACTACTAAAAAAATAGAAAAAAAACTGAAAAAAAAATAACACGCTCATTTGTATTATAAGAATAAAATCAATGCTAATCGATTCCTTTTCTATATCATTTCCAATGAACGCGCCTTCTCTGATAAATACACTTACACAAAAAACAAAAAAAAAAAAACACTCCCAATACTAGGTCAACATTTGAAAAAATCCTCACTATCCGAATCGTCATCGGACATTATGGATTTGGATGATGGCATTGATGCAACCACGCCAGGTCTGACTGATCATACGGGCCGCCACATGGTGCCATTTCTGAGAACGCAGCAATCGTTTGAGAAGCAACAGCTGCAGCTGCAACTGCAGCAGCAGCAGGGACTCCAGCCGGGACAGCAGCAGCAGCTCGGCCAGAACGGCCTGAGGAGCACTAACAGCTTACAGTTAAGGCATAATAACGCAATGGCCGTCAGTATTGAGACCGACGTCTGACTACTAGGTGAGTGCGAGCTCTCTTTCTCTTACAACTTCATGGCAAAGCTGTATGGGTTTTAATCCTAAAAATGTACTTCACTTACTAAGACAGCTTAAAGCTCGGACTTCTCTTATAGAGTCTAGTGCAACTTATAGATAAAACAGCTCAAGTTCGATTTCAAAAAGCTTTAAGCTTATTCAGCTAAAGCTCAAATCTTCTTAAAGTTCGTTGAGACTTTGTAGAGCTAATAACTAATTGGAGCATAGTTCAGTAACAGTGTGATTCTGAATAGTATGGAGAGCTTTAACGATACAAAATAAATCTTCTTCTTGAAATTTGACTACGTTTTGGCTTTAAATATTGTGCAATAGGTGTCAGATCACAAAAAATCAAATCTAATTTTATTGTTGTCTTCCATTAATCTATTTTGCATTATGAAGCGAGCTTAACCTGACTAAACTGTAAGTTCAACATGACAAACTAAAAGCTTAAAGCTTATTCAACTATAGCTACATGTTAGAAAATATATTATTATCTCAAAACGACAGGGCTCTCCATATTCGGCGTAAAAAGTTGCCCATTTTATTTGGTAGCCCTTAAATGACCTCTTTGAGAGTGTGCGGTGTATTTTGCTCGTCACTGTCAAGAGATATAGGGCTGCCAAATGGGTCCGTCGAATATAGACAGCCCCTTACTATGAGAGCTTTTGGTGCATATAAAGCTTTAAGCACATTTGATTTTTATTTTAAATTGATATTGTTGAATCCCTAATTAAATTAAATTAAATTAGCTAGCTTGAAATTGCGGAAATTGTAGTAGAGGTACAGACAATACACATTAAAATTTATAGCTTATGCAGCTCTCTAAAAATTCAAGAGTGTGACGCTTTGAACCAAAAAGCTTTAAGCTCATCATTAAGGTGAATTTATCAAACATTTTCGGCTCACAATCAAATCAGAAAATCAGTTTTAAGCTTGTTTTTCACATACCTAGATTAGATACATAACTATTTGATATTTAATCAATGAAATAACCAGCATCTGAAAAGATAGTAGAAAATAACAATAAATACTCAGTCTAAATTACTTTATCTCCTAGGGAACTTAAGAAGCTTCCTAACCATGCCCAATGCATAGCTTTTGTACCCATTTACTTGATCAGCTTACATTATTTATTTCAATAAACAAATTGTTTATCTATTTCATTGTGCTAATCTTATTTTCTTGTAAACAGTCAAACAAATGGAAAGCAGACGAAACTTGCGCAGTGAAATGTTACGTTGGATGCCAGAAACGTCATCAAAAGCAGTCTAATTTAGAATTTTA